AATTAATTTAAACTTTAAAATAAATAAGTATTACTTACTACTAATAACACACACACACACTACTAGTAGTATATATTTAGTTTTGTTAGTAGTAGTTACTACTCACACACACACACACACACACACACACACACACACACACACACACACACACACACATATATATATATATATATATATATTTGTATGGGAAATGATATCATGTCACCATACCTTATAATATAATAAAACCACACTTTTAAAAAACCATATTTGTAGTATTTGTATGACCCAAAATTTTGCACACACATTCTTCATATCAATAATCAATCTAAAAAAATAAAATAATTTGCACCCTATATATGGTCAAAATGAGTCCTCTCCAACAATGAATCTAGATCGTCCATTTGGTGAATTTCAAGATCTAGGCCTTTATGAATTCAAAATCAATTTTTTCTTTTTTAATGTTATTAATATAATGATAATAAAGTTATCCAAAAAATTTGGAAAGAAAAAAGATCCTTTTAAGGCTTAGATCTAAGTAACTCACCAAAATGGACGACCTATGTTAATTGGGCTAAAAACACTTTCTAGGTTGTGTTTTCATATTTTTCTTTCAATGTGATTGTTCATTAGATTGAAAAGAGTGTATATTTTAAACTTTGTGTCAAACAAATGGCCCTAACATGGTTTTTGAAGATTGTTTCATTATATCACTATATAACCGTTACATGAAATCACTATATATATATATGCGCTTAACAACCTAACCAAAACATGATTTAAAGCCCTCAAAATGTGTTTCAGTGGGTTTTCCACTTTTTCAAAAGGGTAAAAAATTTCATGACCTATAAACTGGACATCTTTTTATTTTTCAAAACAGCTACATTAGCTAAAGCATATTTGCCTTTTGTTGATTCCCCCGGACAGGAATAGGTAAGACTGCACGACATTATGTCAGGTTGCATAAAAGATGCATCCCAACTTAAAGAAAAATGAGTGGAATACACAATAAAAGGGCAGGTAAGGTAACCAGAAAAGGAAATGAATTGCCATTTCAGAGAGTACTCTTGAGGTGAGGGAATTAGCCTTGCAATTTGCCTCTCTGAGAACCTAGATTTATGAGATAGATTTCATTTTTGCCTCCCTTGTAAAAGCCCTCCATGACATCTGTTGATCCTCAGGGATACTCCTCTTTTTAGTCTATAGACCCATGACATTAAAAAGGTCATCTTCCACAATCAACAGATCCAAAACAGCAAAATAATATAAGGGCTTCTTCTTTGGCCTCTATAGAGTCCTGAGAGATCAGTAGACCCATAAACATTCATCACTAGATACCACGCCCAATGTCCCAGATTCCATTGGGAACAATCAAGTTTGAATATACTGTGAAGTGGTTTTGCCCAAACAGACCCTGGTTTGTTCTTAAAGTATAACTTTCCCATTCACTTCAACCCACATCAGAAACCAAACTTCCACTCAAACTAAATTACATCAGAAACCAAAGTAAACTCACCATTACCATCAGATATTTTCTATGTACAGTATCTAAGACCGAGTGACACTACCCACTATAATTTTGTACAGTGGCAGGTCATACAAGTTTGTTTAAAGTCATAGGTTCAAGTATTGATAGTTGAGAACAAGTTTCTTATGTTAAATACAAGGAATCCTGTAGGGAGAACTTTTTCATTGGAAGAAGGTACTTTTGGGAAGCCCAAAAGATTGTTTTACTAAAAGGGCGTGGTTTGTATAAGGTGTCAACATTAAACAATGAGACTAAGGCACATTTCCAAACCTTATCGAAAGTTAGAATTTCGGTGCAGGAAATCCTTATGATGGCCTAAAAATCGATTTTCACCCTAATTATTAATGCACCAAACAAGGGTAAAGATCGAGCAGATCTATAACACTTATCAATAAGAGGGGTTTTTTGGTGCGATACAACCTTTTGTGCTAGGTTTGAGGTGCGACTTACTTCTACAGTATAAGGTTGATGCCTTATATAAACTTTTTCTTTACTAAAACATTTCTAAAAAGGGTAGGATATTTGACAAAATGCAAAAATAAAAGGCCTTAAGTGCAGTCTTTAGAAGAAATTTTTATTCTTAGGATGGGTTTTTGGAGCCAATCCAAAGTAACTGATCAAAGGACGTTCTAGAAACTACCTTTGGCTACTTAAGAAGTAAAACAGATACGTGAAAATAAAGGATCCAAAGGTGATGAATTCTTATAATCTTGATCACTTTACTCCTAAGATCCTGTTAGATTCCCCAATTCCCTACTCCCCAAACCATTTCTCCCTTGACCATACTTTGAATCCTAACACGCTAGCCTCTAGGGCCATAGTATCTAGCCCAAGATGACTCTTTCATCCTATAACCACTCTTCCATTGTCAAATGTGCATTAACAATCTTGCACAATCTAAATGACAAAATTAAGGCAGGAGCTGATTATGTCCAACTATCACACATAAATATAAATGGGCAAACAATACACACATTGTAAAATTCAACTGTAATAACCACCAAAGACAATATATTAAGATTAGAAGGTGTTGTTAGCTATCTACCAAATTCTGTGGCATCTAGTAGTTCAGAAACTCTAGTACTCCTAAAATGGGTAGTCAAGTCATTTTGTGGATAGTCTGTCATTTGGCAGGCCAGGACTATTTACCAAGTACTCATGTTAACATCACCAAATAAATGTTGTTTCATAAATTTCATCAGTAGCTTTAAACCCTTGTATTATAATGAAAATTTCAGTTGCACCCAAATTAAATAACAAAAACTTACTCTACTAGAAAAACATGTCTACAGTATGATGAGGACATTTTCGTCACTAGACAATGGATGCCCATTTTGCCTCAATGCTATACCTAATGATTTTGTGGTCTGTTTCCAATAAACATAATCTTTAAGCAGATTTTGGAGTTGGAGTTGTGCAACATCGAGTCAAACATCTAATGAGTCGAGCATATCCAGCCCTACTGTTTTATCTAGAGCACTCAAACCAAAGACATCCCATAATGGCCACTGATGTGATCACACTACCTATCACTGAGGCCTCATGGAATCTACCAAGTCTCAGTGAGATTGGACCATGTCTTACCTAGTTGACTCAGTTCAAGACTACACCAAGTCCCAAACCAAGTCCATCTCCTTATAGCATGGGTTTTTCTTAAAGGTCTATTGGGAAGTAATAACAAGTCAGAGAGTTAGTTGATTGTCTTTTCCTCCGGTGCCACCTACACGCATTGTAGTCCATACCATACACAAGTGCAGCAAGAGATCAGACCCTTACACAACACTTCTAAAAACTTCTTTCAATCTATTTCTTTTTTTTAAAAGAAAAAAAAAATTATTTTCAATCTTTGAAGTTGAAGTATTCAGCATCTTTTATTGGAAATAACACCACTAATATTGACAAAATTCACAACTTCGCTCACAAGAACAATGTTAAGTATATCATCCTCTAATGCCATCTCCATATTACAGATTTGCCCATACCATACGTTTATCCTATAGCAACTGTAATATATCTCCAATGATTTTATAGCAGATAAAAATCCTGGAGAAAATGTTCCATCAAAACCATTCAATAGAGGGGGGAAAAAAAATGATACATCACCACCTTCTCAATTTGTGCGCTCTTAGGGGGGTGCTTATGTATAATATGTCTAGTGTTCGAATCCTCGTTTTCATCTCATGTTTCTTTACTTACCCAAAAACAAAAAACCCTTCTCACTAGGGCCCTTTCCAAAGGATCAACAACAAATGAACCACAAACATGTCATACGCTTCATGCCATATGGAAACAATGAAAGTTTTGGACTTTGAAATGGAAGATCAAAGCCAAACTACATGGATGCACATGAAACTGATGCATACACATTTGGGTTTCCTTTGATTTCCACGATCTATTTGCCGCCTGTTATGCCATGTTCAACTCAAACAAATTCAATATAGGGCAGTAGAGTATCTCAAAATATAGTATATAACTACCTACCAAACTAATCAACCATTGGAAATATTTAAAAAAGGAGATCCAATATTCTTCATCTATAGCCTTGATGTAGGAAAAAAAAAATAGAAAGATCAAATCCTACATAATTAATAGGCAACAAACAATCTTTTTCACAGCCAAAGAACATATTAAGACATCATCATCATCATCTGAGTCTTATCCCAACTGCTTGGGATCGGCTACACAAATCATGCTCCACCATTCCATTCTATTAAGGGCCATACCCTCAATCAGATCATAAGTCATCATATATTTTCTCATTGCTTCCATCCATCTCCTTTGAGCCTTCCCCTGCCTTTTTAGAGCCTTCCACTTAAACTGAATCACCCCTCCTAACCGGTGTTGTTCTAGATCAATGCTGCAAGTGACCAAACCACTTAAGTCTACTTTCCCTTATTTTATCACCTATTGGAGCTACTCCTAAGTTTCATGAAATGTATTCATTCCGAATTCTATCATTCCTTATATATGGCTATTCATCCATCTCAACATCCTCATCTCAGCTATACTCTTTTTTTTCTTAATGAGAGCTACACTCATTCTATGAATGTGTTGTTTCTTGAGCCCCCAACATTGAGAATAAAAATGGTATAGATTTTTTCAAAAATTCTAAAGATTTTTTAAAGAATAAAAAAAATGCAAAGAATGTTTCAAAGCACCCACATTCTACCAATTACTGAACAAAAAAGCAACAATAAAAGGGCTAATAATCAATGATCATGATTGAAAACATGCATCCAGGTAGATACATCACAAGAAAAAAAGGGGAAAAAACAAAACATTGTTCAAGCAACAGAAGTCGGAAGTTATAATCAGTATCCAACAGGATTCATCATGAAAGTTAGAGAAGAAGAAGCATATCAGACCTATCAAATTACCCAAATAACCAGCAAAAGAAAGTTAAAAAAAAAATCATACCAATTGAATAGTTCTAACCAGTATCAATGAAACCAGACCAAAAGACTAAATAGGGCTTAAGCCAAGGGAATGAATCTCCCAAGTATTCCTATATAGGGTTTAAGCCAACGGAAGGAATATTGGATATGCCACCATGGGAACACAATCTCTCCATCCAATTGAGCATGCCAAATCAACCCATGTAAGAATGGTTTCTAACCAGCATCATTAAAACCAGACTAAAAGATAAATTTATATTGAGATGAATGTAACAAACCCACTCTACACATATTAATTGTCATGGAGTGCAATAATGAATAATAAAAGAATGTAACATATAATTAAATGATATAGACATGCAAAGTCAGTATCCAAGTACAATTCATATGTTTGAGCTTCTGCCACAAAATCAACAAAAAGGATCATAAGATCTCATATTGCTATGAGCAGAATATAACAGTAAAAAACCTAATAAAAAAATCAATGATCATGGGTTATAAAAACAACAATCCATGTATATTCATCAAAGGAAAAAGACAAAAACAAATGTTAAAATACACAGAGCTACATAACTCATGAGTTTATAGACATTAGGAGAGAAGAATAAAATGGAATGAGCACAAGGTGGAGGGAGAAATGAAAAGCCTCACACCATAAAACCCTAGGAAGAAAAGCTACGACAATACGGACCTTTTATCAGGTCAAAAAATCTCAGATCTGGTGCTTAGTGATCTCGATACCAAGAACAAACTCGCTGTTAGATGATTCAAACCCTGCAAAGATTGAGGAACATGGGCATGGGTGCTGGTTGCTCCTGGCACAAAGGGATGATAAAAAATGGGGGAGAAATTTCTTACCTCAAAGAAGGCGCCAAGTTCGCTATTGCCCCTGCAACAATGACGCTGGGACGGGAAGGGAGATACATAGCTGCAATTAAGGTTTTTATTATGGAAAATGTTTTGATAGGGCTGCACCCCTATCAAAACAAGTAAAGCCTCACCTAAGAAATCACGGTAAAGTGCAGTTTTGGTGTTCGAAAACCTTTCAATGGATCATCTCGGCCTTGATCGTTATGGTTATAAAAAAATTAAGATTTCAAGACATGAAAATCATGTATGTTATGATATAGTATCTAGACCGTCTATTTCTCCTTAAAAATTAGCTTTCATATATCTGTACGATATGTAGCTTTTTTGGGCTTCAAATTTCAATGTTGGCTTTCAAAATTGATTTTAGAGGGACCATGAAAATTTATAATACCCAAAATTCTCTCTAGATGAGGATTTGAAATAAGATTTTACTTTGTTTTTCTAAAGCCTAGGCCTTATAAAAATTATATCCCTTTATTCTTGAGAAATGGTTTGACTGGGCGGAACCTCTATCAAAATAAGTAAAGTCTCACCAAAAATTGTAATTTAAGCATGGGAAGCTTTTGCATCGATTGTCTCGACTTGAACATTATGGTTGTCAAAAAAATTAGGATATGGTTGTCAAAAAAATTAGAATTTCAAACGTTAAAAAGTAGTGTATATTTTAACAAATTATCTAGATCGTCTATTTCACCCAAAAAATAAATGTTTAAAGATCCAAAAGATTTGTAAGATTTTCTTAGTTTCAAAATTTATTGAGGTGTTAAAAATTAATTTTACAGGCATCATGGAGATTTTGATGTTCCAAAGTACTTTCCATACTAAGATTTGAGGTGAGGCTTTATTTGGTTTTTATAGAGCCTGGGCATTATTGAAACTTCATCCTTAATTTTTATATTTTCTTATTTTATGAAAGATGGAAATTTAACTTAAAGAGTTATTTTGGTTTTCTATATTTCTTTCTTTTCGTATTTATATCCATTGTTATTGTAAAAAATTAAGGGATAAAATTAAAAATTTTAATTTTTTAAATAAATATGAAGAGGTAGGTTTTATATTGATTTGGCTTTCTAGGGACTAAGTTAAATTTAAAGTTTTCTTTTACAAAAAAAGGATAGAAAAGAGAAGATTCGAAGTTAGGTATTGTGAAAAACTCTTTAGATGTAGAGTGAACATTGAGAGGGAATAATCTTTTACTTTTTATTTTTTATTTTCATTTTTGAAGTTTGTTATTTTTTTTCCTCCTTCCTACATCAATTGACATTAGAGTTAGAAAATATCTATCAATCACAATGCCCCCAAAACCTGCTTTTACAATCGACGATATATTGGCACATATTTTAGAGCTTGTGAATCAAACAAATGCAATAAAGCATAAATTAAATCATAGAAGATATCCTAGGCGAAATCCACCGAATATGAGAACATATCAAAATAAAATCGACATTTGCAACGACTAGAAAATGTAGCTCGTCGAAAGAGGGTGCTCTACAACCACATAGATTTGGTGCCAAATCAAACTTAGAGATGAATTGAGCTCTACAACCGCCTCGGTGTGCCGATCCCGAATGTAATGAGGAATTTTGGAGGCAAAACTCACAGCATGTAAAACGTCTACAAGATCTCCATATTACAGCTAGTCTCCCTGAGTTTCATGATAAACTCTAGATATAGTGTTCTATTAATTGGTTGAGTATAATTAATTTGTTTTTTTCTTCTGAATGGAGTGAATTACTGAAAAGTTAGTAGTGTTACAACCAAGCTCTGAGGGTATGCTGCAGCTTGGTCGGAAAAACTCGGCTTTGCAATTGAAAGGCAAAAAATTTTATTGGCAAAAGATGAATGAAATTCTTTTTTCTTTTAGATCATAAATAAATTTTTTTTCAAAACTTCCAAAATATTCGATAAAACGAGAAAGAGTAAAGAACTATACTTGCGAATTTTACAGACTTGTGGCTTGCAGCAATCTTCAAGACTAAAGAACAAAAGGTTGCCGGTTGTGTTAATGGACTACAACTAAACATTAGGGAGAGCTCTTTCTATATAGGTTATGGACCTTAAAGTGAGGCTTTTACAGTTGCTTTTTGTGTGGAGACCAAATTACAGTGGAGCACTGCTAAATGCTTTTTCACATAGGTTTTGCACCACCCAAAATTAAATGAAGGAAAGAAGGATTCCTCTAAAATTTCTTTTTATCGGTCTACAAGAACTAGACACCGGGCATATAAATGGCCAATAAGGAATGGAGATACACTTATTTAAAGAAGTAGTTGAAATTCATGAAGAAGATCAGCATCTAGAGATACACCTACATGGCGACGAAAGAGATTTATTCAAATTCCGATTGTTCAAGCTTGATGTCGAGCTTCTCCTAACTATAGGAGAATGATGCAATTAGGATTTTTATTTTTATTTTATTATTTTTTTGAGAAATTAAAATTTAAGTATGAAGTTATTATGGGGTTTTTAGTATATTCATGTCTTTTTTTTTTTTTCTCGGGTGAATCAGTAAGGATGTCGGCCCCCTACCCATTTTATTAAAAAAAATGGCACATGGACAATCTTTTTACAACCCTTGGGAAGGAAACATTGGCAGCATCAGATAAAAAAAAAGGCTTTAGGAAATCTGGGGGGCAGGCGTGCCACACCGTTGCTTCATTTCTGAATACTGACTCTTTAGCGGAGGAGTCAACCATCATATTAGCCTCTCTATTAGTGTGTAGGATATGAAATTGATGATCTGCAAAAGAGGTGAGCCTAAATCTGCAATTCTCTAAGATAGTGTGCATTTTTATAGAGGCCTACATCGTTGGTGTTGGGTTTATGTGGCCTTTAAAGGCCTTATGAGTGATTGTGATAAGACCTTTGATACAGTAGATCATGGACTCAGTGAGAGTGTGGTCCCTCATAGACCATACCATGCAAACGAGGTTTGCATATACCGAACTGTGCTTGACGGTCTAGGCCAGTCCGTTGGGAAAAACCCATATTGCCTGGGCATAAAAAATAAACCGAGAAGGTTTCTAGTGAGTTATCCCTTGATGAGGTCGGAGTATGCCTGAATGAGAGAGCCGAGGGACTGTGTGACCATTGTGTGTGATGGTGGCCTATGGAGACGGGGGCCAAAGCCTCATCCATGTACCATGACACGACATGCATATTGATAGACTATTCGGGAAAGCGAGTAACCCACCTTTTAGGGTGAAGTGTATGTATGTGCGAGAGATACCCCAATACGTCATAAAGTTGTGGTCGCATCAGATCTAGGTGACATTGATTCGTATCTAGGGGAGAACCAGAAATTCATAGACTGGGATTGTGATCCCTTAGCTCATCGTCCAGATTTTTGGTGACCCACTAATGAACTCCTGCTTGGACCATGGGTCATGGGTAACGCTGGGTCTACATGATAAAGCAAGTGTGGTCTGTAGTCCACAGTTGAAGGTGGAGTGTCCCATTATTGATTTAATTCCTTGACCATATGGATCATTTTCCCATCAAATTAATTTAATTATGTTTTCTTTATGGTAGATATTATTTTACAATTATTATTTGAATTTTTATAAATCTCTGGATATTTTATTTATGAAATTTGGGTTTATAAAATTAAAGATATTAATTTTTAATGATTTAAATATTCAAATAATATTTTAAAATATATTTTTAAATATATGAAATTTTATGTTGTGCACGTGCACCCACCATATTCTAGAAGGTGGGCCCCATAAGTCCCTATCTTGGGTGGCACACCACCTTTTGAGGGGAGGCTTATCCCATGGTGGCACCTCTCCCTCTTTATAAGATTTGTTGATATAATTTATCTTAAATTGGTTTAAGTTGATAAATTGTTTTATCCTTAAGAGTTTTGAGTAAATCTTTTAAAAGGCCTATGAGGCTTATGAATATATATTTTGGATAGAGCACAATATTTTATTGATTAATTTTTATTTCATGAGATAATGGTCAAAAGAAAGGGGCGATAATGGTTCAACACATTCCGTAATATTGATGACTCATCTATAGAATGAATGACTCAGATCTTCCACCCCACAAGTCACTCTTGATCGACTGTTCAGATTCAATCTTGTGAGGCAAGCAATGGGAAGCTTAGATCCAATATTATATCTCACATTCCTCTTTCAAATTTTATCTTTTAAAGAAAGAAATATGGGGCTCACATCATCATCTCTCACCCAACTCCTTTCATCTCTCATACTTTATCCAAAGAATATTTCTCGCTCATACTTTATCCAACTCATTCTTCCTCGCCCCCCTCTCACTACTTTTCTAATCATCTGCCACATTAGAAGCTCATTATTAATCCTACACCTCATGTATGAGGTGGAGGTGTTTTAAAGAATTTAAATGGGGCGAAAGGTAAGACGTCGCCTAACAACTCCTTTCTCGCTCTCCTTTTTACAAACGGACTGAGCTCCTCTCTTTAGTATAATTTTTTTTATCGAAAGCTGCCTCTCAAATATTATAGGTAAGTGACTTCATTGTCTTGAAGAATAATTCGTTTTTTTTTAAAATGAAATAATTATTTATGTTTATTATCACGAATTTTAGGCACGGTAAATTTTACGTGTAAGTGACCTCATTGGTCTCGAAAAATAATATTTTTAATAAAATAGTGATATTTTATCTATGTTAGAAATTTTAAGTGCTATAAATTCTTAGAAATAAATTTATTTATTTTTCTTGTTTATTGTTAGAAAATTTTAGATATTTTAAAATTATTAGAAATAAATGT